CAGCCCCAGGGACCCCCAGGAATTCCCAGCCCCAAAGGATCCACAGGAATTCCCAGCCCCAGGGACCCCCAGGAATTCCCAGCCCCAAAGGATCCCCAGGAATTCCCAGCCCCAAAGGATCCCCAGGAATTCCCAGCCCCAAAGGATCCCCAGGAATTCCCAGCTCCCAAAGGATCCCCAGGAATTCCCAGCCCCAAAGGATCCCCAGGAATTCCCAGCCCCAAAGGATCCCCAGGAATTCCCAGCCCCAGGGACCCCCAGGAATTCCCAGCCCCCCCAGCCCTTCCCCAGGGGATTTTCCCGGTGCTGCCCCGTTGGAGTTTCCTGGCAGCAGCCCCAGCACACAGCACATCTTTGTCCAGCCCACAGAGGAGCTCATTCAGGGCAAAAAAAGCAAATTAAAAAAAAAAAAAAAAAAATCAAAACAGAAACATTTCTGTCTCAGGATGAACAGAGGCTGCTCACAGCAGAGTTTTCCTGCCCTGCTCCTAAAAATGAGGATTTTTATCCCAAAATCCAGCGCTCCGGGGGGGCGGGGCTGAGCCACCCCCACCCAGCTCATTATCCCCAGCCATCCTCATTAAACTCCTAACGAGGACAAAGCCACCAGGGCCACCCCCAGGTGGGTGACTTGAACTCCCTGCACACGGAGAGATCCAAAAAATGGCAGCAAAAAAGAATTTGTTGCTCAGGAGAGGCAGCTGCACATCAGTGATGGCAACAACAATTAACAGTATTAATATAATTAACAATAATACCAATATTGATATTATTAATAATAATAATATCAATATTAATATTATCATTACTAATATTACTATTGATTATAATTATAATAATAATAGTAATAAATTCAAGACTACAGGAAAATAATCATAATCATAATCACAGTAGCAACATAATAGAAAGAATAGAAAGAATAATTTCATGTATACAGGACCACAGTTATTATTAATATTACTATTATTATTATTATTATAAATAGCATATAGTCCATTACTAATATAAATTACTATTAAATAGTATAGATTACTATATTATTATTTCTGTATTTATCACTATTTCTGTATTTATCACCATTACCATTATTTCACATCTCCAGGACAAGCAAATTGAACCCACAAAGCAACTCAACAAAAAGTGCCCCAGCGAGAGGGGGAGGAAAAAAAAAAAAAAAAAAAAAAAAAAAAAAAAAAAAAAAAAAGCTTGAATGAACTCCCTGATCCAAAAATTACTCTGCTGCTTTAAATAATATTTGGCTTTTCTTCCTGCTCTGCATTTCCCCATTCCTCGGGCATTACAGAAACTGCCAGAATGGAGCAACCCTGTGGGTTTGAGCCCAACGTCAAAAGCTGCAGCTCCTTTCTGCTCAGGTGGTTTTGGGCCACCAGCCCTTCCTCCCCTTCCCCATCCTCCTCCTCAGACCCCCCCCCGTGCCATTTGCACCCCAAAATCCACGGCTCTGGGGTCTCTGCTACCTTCTGTGCATCTCCAGTGATGCAGGCGATGCCCAGGGTGGGCAGGATCATGAACAGTGCATTGTAGTAGAGCAGCCCGTACTTGCCCAGCTCCTGGAAAAGGGAAAACAGCCCCAGCTCTGACTGGGAACCGAACCTGGGACTCTGCTCCTGCAGCTGGATCCACCCGGGAATCCGGAATTTTGATATCCCGTGGAATTCTGGATTGCTTTGGGATGGGAGGGACCCACGGGCAGGGACCTCCCATTGTGCCAGGATCCGACCCAGCCTCGGGCACTGCCAGGGATCCAGGGGCAGCCACAGCAAATGTGGGAATTCCTCCCCAAAATCCCACTCAATTCTTCTCTTTTCCAATTTGAAGCCATTCTCCATCCCTTTGTCCCAAGTCCCTCTCCAAGCCTGGACAGATTTTGGGAATGGGATGGGTGAACCCTCCCCCCACTTTTGCTTTCACAGAAACCAAACCCAAAATCCCAACATCCCAAAGCCCATCCCACCTTTGAATCCAGCTTCTGTTTCACATAGGCACCGTTTGCAGCTGTTAAGGCATCGTTAATGAGGATAAAAATATATCCCTCCAGGTCGAATGCCAAGTCAGCACTGGGAAAGGGAAAAAAAACCAGGAGTTAACAGCTCTGGGCTGAGCAGGGACAAGGCCTGGAAGATTCCTTCCACCTTCTGGGGAGCCAGAAAGTTGTCAGGAAAAGTTAATCACGGGAGGAGGGGCTGGAATTTGGGTCTGGAAAACATTCTTTCCTACTAGAGAGCATGTCTGAGGAGGGGGAACATTAAAAAAAAAATAAAATCCGTGTTTAATTAATTAATCCTCTGTTCTTGGCACACACCATGGACTGGATTCCCATTAGCAGGGACCCTCTGGAGATGAGGGAACGGGGACAGCTCACCTGGCAGCCACAAATGCACCAAAGATCATGGCAAATACTGTCATCTGAATGCTCCAGGAAAACTTCTTCCTGCAAAACAGGGGCAGCAGGACACAGCTTCAGCCCTCGGGAATACTCCCAGGGCTTTGGAGCAGGGAGAAGCTTTTCCTCCTCAGGAAAAGGGGGGAAAAAAAACCCCAAACCAACCCCAAACAAAGCGACCTGTGCAGGAGCTGCGAGTGGAGACACTGTCAGACAATTATCAGACAATTATCAGACAATTATCTCAGCCAATGTTTTAGAAGATAAAGAACCCAGCCTGGAGGAGCTGCAGCTCTGCCTGGGGCAGGGCAGGGCTCAGCTGGGCACGGGGAAGATCCCAGGGAAGGCTCTGGGCACCCCACGGGAGGTTTGGGGTCCAGGAATTGTTTGGGGTCCCTGCAGGAATTGGGGCAGGCACAGCACCCTGCACTTCCCAGCCCTGGGAAGGGGCTCTGGGCACTCCAGGAATGGTTCAGGGTCCAGGAATGCTTTGGGGTCCCTGCAGGAATTGGGGCAGGCACAGCATCCTGCACTTCCCAGCCCTGGGAAGGGGCTCTGGGAGAGGTTTGGGGTCCAGGAATGGTTTGGGGTCCCTGTAGGAATTGGGGCAGGCCCAAGAGCCTCCCAAAGTGCCCCAAATGGAAGCAGAGCAGCACATCCCCTCTGTCCCAGCTCCCTCCAGACCCTCAGGATGGGATTTGGGAGCAGCAGCTCCTGCATCCCCTCCCTCCTGCATCCCCTTCCTCCTGCATCCCCTCCCAGCCCAGCCCGGAGCCAAACCCGGCCCGGCAGCCCCAGAACCGAGCCCGGAGCCGTCCCTGGAACTCACTTGAGCAAGAATCCCTCGGCAAACATCGTGAAGAGGATGGAAAACCTGCGCAGCACCGTGAACATGGGCAGGCTGCGGGAGGAAGGACAGCGGGGTCACAGGGAGCCCCCCTTCCCCAGGCCCCAAAAGGAACCAAAGACCCCAAAAAAGGAGCAGGGAAAAGGAAATGGGCCCCGAAATCCAGCACGGATTGGATTTGCCGTGCACTGCTGGGGGAATGAACTATGGGTGTGGGATTGCTCCTTATGGGATTGGATTTGCTGCCAGACCCTGCCAGGATGGGAGAGCTCAGGGACACCCCCAGAGCCCGTGAAGGAGGAGTGAAAGAGGGGGAGAGGGGAAAAAAATAGGAAAATAAGGGGGGGAAATGGAAAATAGGGGGGAATAGAAAATAGGGGAAATGGAAAATAGGGGAAATGGAAAATAGAGGGGAATGGAAAATAGGGGAAATGGAAAATA